GTTAAGCAGAGATGGGATACTATCATGGATACTATCCACAGCACTGCACTGAACACTTTCAGGAGGAATAGGAGGAAAACACTGAACTGTTTTGAAGCAAGTGTGAATGAGCTCAATGTGGCCATCAAAAAGAAACATGTTACATTATTGGAACACAAACAGCAACCTATTCAGGCAATGTTGAAAGCTTTGATGTAAGCCAGAAACAATGCACAGAAGACAGCCATATGCCGTGCAAATATCTACTAACTTAAGCTGTGTGAGAACATATATTTATCATTTGACACTGGTGACATTCACGGGATGTATGAAGGAATCAAGAAAGTCATCAGCCCAATCAAATACAAGACAGCACCACTGAAATCCTGGGCTGGTGAGATTATCAAGTACACAGACAAAAAGATGGAGAGGTAGGTGAAACCATTCTTGGAACTGTTCTCAAGGGAAAGTTGTATCTTGGATTATGTGCTACACATAGTAGCTCATCTATTGGTTATGGAGGGATTGAACCATTGCCAATTGATGGGGAGTTGAGCAGATGTATTGACAAGTTACCCATGGGAAGGCACCAGGACTTGATGGCATTCAACCAGAGGGCATTAAGTGTGCAAAGAGTCTTCTACATGACCACATGGTGAGTCTACTCTGTTAATGCTGGAAGGAGTGAACATGAGCTGAAATGACCAATCAAAATACAAGTGACAGCATTTCCAGTTAATTAATTTGAACCTTTTGAAACCTTTATTCTACAATCTACATTCAACATCATCACTTGATAAGACACCAAAGGTGTTGAAACAAAATAGCTATTTTTGTAGTGATTTTATAACATAAATATGTTATAATTTTTAAATAAATAATTATATATATATATATATATATATATATATATATATATATATCAGAATGAACATTTTGGTTTGATTCCTGCCAAAGAGCACAAATTTTTCTTTAATAAGATTTCTCAAACTTTCAGGCTGGTAGGTGTAAATAAATGAATATACTGTTTAATATATAAACAGAGTACCTCCTCATATATGAGTATCGATTAATAATAATGTCTGAAGTTATATATATATCTGCTCTGAGAGATGCAGATTTGATCCCTGCAAAGAGCACAGATTTCTTGACCATTCAGGCTGTTAAAGTGTAAATAAATGAATATACTGTTTAATATATAAACAGTGTTCGAACTCAAATATTAGTATCTATTAGTAATGATATTTAAAGTCAAACAAATCTGTTGGATTAATAAAAATCCACTGTAAAAATTATTTTAGTTTATGTTTCGATATAAAACTGTATGCAGATATGATAAACTTCAAGAGATCATTGACAAAAGAAATTTTGCTTGAAAGCATGAAATCTAGCTTTGCCTGACTGTCTGTCTCTTCATGGCCAAAGTAGTGTCGAAGGCCCTGGCTAAATGGTAGCTCTCTCTGCCCTGAGAGATGCAGGTTCGATTCCTGCAAAGAGTGCAAATATTCTGTAATAACATTTCTCAAAATTTCAGGCTGGTAGATGAAAATAAATAAAGATACTGTTTAATATATAAATGGAGTTCCAAGTCAAATATGAGTATCCACTAATAAAAAACATTTAAAGTGATAAATATATATATATATATATATATATATATATATATATATATATATATATTTAAAGATATTTTTGTAGGTACAAAATTTAATGATCAAAATAAAAGTATAAAACTTAATATTACGAGACATAAAAAAAATGGGTGAAGCAACCGGTTTCGCTCCCGTTCTTCAGGCTTCACCTATTAAAGAACAGAGATTGTGCAGCCAAATTTAGTGTTGACTGGTTCACCGTGTTGTCCCGGTCTCACTCCTTATTTCATCTAAAGTTTCTGGAAGCACTTTACATCGGGTCCCGTAAGCCTTCTTTGTGCAAACAATGTGAGTGTTTGTTGGGACTCGCTGTCATTTTTTTTTTTTATAATTCCTTTTATTGTACATTTTTCTATGTTAATTTTAAATCTCCCGTTGAAGCCTGAGGAGCGGGAGTGAAACCGGTTGCTTCACCCATTTTTTTTAATATGTCTTGTTTTATACTTTTATTTCGATCATATATATATATGTGTGTGTGTGTGTGTGTGTGTGTGTGTGTGTGTGTGTGTGTGTGTGTGTGTGTGTGTGTATTTTAAATACATTAAAATGATTAAATAATTAACAAGTAGGAAAAATTTTACAAATTTGACTAGTTTTATTCATTTTACCTTCATCGGAATTTTCTTAGAATAGAGCAGTGTAGAGATGTTTCAATATTTTGAATACTATATTGTTTGTTTTCATTGGTGAGATAGATGTCAAAAATGTCCATCTTGTGATGTGAGTATGTGTATATGTATGTATCAAACTCCTACTGTGACTACTATTTATTTTAAGGTTGCATGTTGGTGCATTGTAGGTGTGTGCGTGTTCACATATAAACATTTAAAGAAGAAGCAACAAAAATGTGAATTTCTACTACAGACCATTTATTCTTTTTTATAGTTACTGTAGGGAAACGTTCTCATCGTTCCTTGAGTATGCTTGTTTTTTTCTGGTTCAGATGTAAGTTGGGGTAAGTAAGGATAAGAATGGTTGTAATGGTCAAGCTCAAGTCAACCTTGCATGGAGTTAGAACAACCAAAGTAATGGTTGACATTTCATTGGTAGTTATAATGGTCAAGCTGAAGTCAGCCTTGAGTTGGAATGACCAAAGTCAAGAAGGATGAACTTACTCCATCAGTGGAAGGTTCTGTCTGTTTGAACACCATGCATTAGAGAGAGAGAGAGAGAGAGAGAGAGAGAGAGAGAATACAGTCATCAGTAAATTTGGTTTTAAAAAGAGATGTTCTCCAGCATGGATGTCTTTATTTTTGTGTTGCTACATCTTTGCACAAGAGGAAAAAAAGAGGAGGTGGAAGGAAATGTTTGTCTTTTATAGAAATTAAACAGCACCACCTAATGGGTGTTTGGTGAAACCAAGTGGGGTAATAAAATTGTGCAGATGCATAAAACCCTTTCTGGTTCCTGTATTGTTAGCATCATGGGAAAATGTATTTCTTTTTTCTTCTTTATTATTATTTTATTTATTAATTTTGTTTCATTTTCCCCTACTACATTATAACTCTTGTCTGTGTTTTAAGTGTGAATTAAATTTATTATCATTAGTTTTGGATTAAATTTTATTATTATTATTATTTATATTTTATTTATGTAAATATTTTATGTATTTAGAATTATTTGGTGTATACTGAAAATGTGTATATTGTTATGTTTAATGATTACTTGTTGTATATGATGAATGTTGGATGTGTACTGAAAACATTTATATTGTGTTTTTGGTTGCTAGGTGAATATGATGAATTTTAGAAGTGAATGTGCAAAATTAAGTTAATACATCTGTAAATGTTTTGATTTTACATTCATTAAATATAAGCTTCATAAATATTGGTAATATGAAAAATCTTTTCTAGTGTGTATCTATAGTGCATACATTATTTATTAATATCTCTTCTTGGTAGATATGTTTACCTATCATCTGATTTAGACTTCTCTCTGGTCATTTGAACAGGAGTAGAAGGTTTATCATTTGTTTCCTTTTTAAGACTGGGTTTCTAGTTCTTTCTAAAGTCTGTACTTCTAACACTTGTCCTTTATTATGCTAATCTTACACAAATTCACACAGTAACACTCTACCTTGATTGACTCTTGGGCCTTGTATTAGGTGAACATTATTAGTTAAAAAGAAATTGGTTGTGTTAATTTTTTTGTTAAGGTGGCATTATGGCCTGATCTTAATAAAGAACATTAAATGGGCATTTAAATGGGCATCTTTGACCATTTAAACTTTGACAGAGAACATTTGGATAAAACAGAGACCATATGAATATCAATTCTCTGGCCAGATGAGTCAAAGATATAACTGCTTTTTGGCAAACAAAACTGGCATGTTTGTACGAAAGCTAACACTATGTACCAAGAAAATATGAATTCTTATTCCTATCAAGAAATTTTAGATCAGGAATATTAAGATCTAGGGTTGCTTTTCAGCCGATGAACATGGATGACACCATATTCTCCAAGGAAATATGAATTCTCAATACTAACAAGAAATTCTACATCATGTATGTTAAGATCTGAAGTTGCTCTTCAGCCTGCGAACCTGGACAACTTCATATTATCCAAGGAAATATGAATTCTCAGTTCTATGGATAAATTCTGGATCAGAATATCCTACCATTAAATCTATTTTTCAGCATTGATGGAATCTTTCTGCCACGCTTTTTTCTTTTTAAGAATCAGACTAGACCAAAAACAGGGTATCTGGAGGTACTCAGTCCTCACCAGTGTTGGGCATACATAAACTTTCAAGTGACACAAAATATATTCATATATATGATATACATATACAGTGTAACCCGGATATAAGAGACCCGGATATAAGAGAAACCCGGATATAAGAGAAACCCGGATATAAGAGAGATTTTCTCTGGTCCCAAATTAGAGCCTGTGTTAATGTATATAAAATAGACCAAACCCGGATATAAGAGAAACCCGGATAAAAGAGACTTCTTCTCCGGTCCCGACAACTCACTTATATCTGGGTTACACTGTATATCATTTACATCTATGAATATTTTATCATTTGTATGACCTATTTAATATGAAAATATTTGTTTATAAAACCTGTTGTATATTAATCCAAATACCAGTTAAGATTTCATTCTGAATTGCATTTCTGTGACATAAAGTTTATGCTTTTCTAAACCGTGTCCCAATTCTTAGAATTGCCTTATTCAGGATATTGGTATTAACTCGTCTGGTGCTGGTGCCAAAGCAATTATTTGAAAACTTATGATACATTACCATCCACAACCTCCAGGAAATTAAAATTTGGTAATTGCACAGACATAATATGTGTTTATCTGATGTGATATGAGTGAGTGAGTAATTGTGTATATAGGTGTGTAAGTGTGTGCATATTTGTATATGTCCATATCTATCTATCTATCTATCATAGTTTTTTCATATCAATCTCAGTGTGTTCATATCTATTTATCTATCTTATTCCATTCATTATCTATCTATCTATCTATCTATTTATCTATCTATCTATGCTTTTATATTGTATATGAAATCGGAGAGCCAAGTTTGAATTCCAATAAAATTTGCTATATTCACTTACATGCAAATACCCTTGGGAAAGATATGAATCCATCTCACACCTCCAGCAATGGATTAAATGATATCCTCCCACAAATTGTTAATGCAATATTTCCTTGCAAAAATAAAATTATTCCTGCAATCCAAAATATGTTTCAGCTTTAAATCACCTACAATAAGCATGCCATAAAAAACAAATCAATCCACCAATCACACACACACACACATACATTTATATATATATATATATATATATATATATATATATATATATAATACAAAAAGTGGATGGTAAATATATTTTTTGTATAGTTTTTGTTGTTTGCTATGGAATAAAATTGATATGTATTACATGTATACTATAATCTTTTGAGTATGGTACACTTAATTCTACAAGAAATTAATCATTTTCACACTCTTCTTGTAATTCCTTGATAGGTTGTATACAAATATAGAAATAGAGACTGACACAGAGGAACAGACACACACAGACAGAGGCACAGACATCTATCAGGCAGCTACATACATGCATCTATCTCTCTATATCAGCTTTTTTCTATCTATGTCAGTCTTGTTTCTTTCTATCAGTCTGTTTATATCTATCTATCTATCTATCTATCTATATCACAGCCTTTTCCTATCTATTTCACTTTATTCGTGACTATCTATCTATCTATCTATCTATCTATCTATCTCAGCCTTTTCATATCTATGCCAGTCTGTTTCTTTGTATCTCAGTCTGTTCATATCTATCTATCTATCTATCTATCTATCTATCTATCTATCTATCTATCTATCTATCCCACAGCCTTTTTCTATTTATTTCAGTCTGTTCATTTCTGTATATCCTTTCAGCTAGCTAACTATCTGTAGGGATACAAAAGTGATTACCTCCCTTTCATGCAGATGTCACATAGGTCTTGTAAATACCGAGAATGTTCAGTCATTCAGCTTGTTTATGGCAGCCAAACTGAGTGGTTGTTATTTTTATCCAATGCTAAGGGGCCTGGATTAGATGAAATCTGCTTTCCCCAGTAGCTTTCAAGCACATGGGGCCATTTTCATTTGGGATTATATCATACCCATATACAGAAAGAAACTCTGGTTTGCAGTACTCAATTTGGGAAAACATGTTCCCCATTCATGGAATATGTCCTCACATGGGATATAGTAGATGAATGTGGTCCACTTGAATCTGGTGTCCTAAACATGGCTTCTCCAGAAACACAGAAGAATCTCTATATTATATGTAAAACCCTATTTTTTTGTTCTCTTTCACTCTGATTGACTCTGTAGATAAATGATATATTATTCTCTGTGTGTGACATGAGTTTATTTGAATGTATAGTTTTGCATATGTTTTAGTGGTATAAAAGTCTCTCTGAGAACAATGCATATTTTCCATTCCTTTTCCTTTCAGCCATTCTGTTCCATTTGTGAAATATGGTTATTATAATATAGTAATGCCTGTAAGAAGGGAAATTTGAATGGGAGAATAAATCATTCTTCCATAGCTCTCCTGTTATATATTTCCCTATATCATAGCCTTTTCCTATTTCATTCTGTTCATATCTACCTATCTACTGATCTATCTATCTCAGCTTTTTCTATGTATCTGTCTATAAATATTTACAAATACATGGATATGTATTCATTTCTAATTTTTTTACTTCGTGTTGTCTTTGCATCATTTCAAGTAGTAAAATATATACTATATATGAAAGCAGGGAGCTGAGTCTGAATTCCTGTCAAATTTGTGATATTCACTTAGCTTTGGGAAAGGTATGAATCCATCTCACCTCCCAGCTATGGAGTAAATAGTAAGATTTGTGGTGGAAAAAATTCAATTTTATCTCCCCCAAAATGTTAATGCAGAATTCACATGCAAAAAAGAATTATTCTTACAATCTAAAATATGTTTTGGCCTTAAATAACCCACAACAATGAATAAGCCATAAAAAACAAATCAATCAACCAACCAGTCATATATATATATATATATATATATATATATATATTTACCTGTGTGCATCTCTCTCTCTTTCTCTTTATATATATATATATATATATATATATATATATATATATATATATGATAAAAAAAAGTGGATGGTATAATATATTTTTTGTATAATTTTTTATTGTTTACTATGGAATGAAATATATTTGTATTACACATATGCAATAATCTTTTGAGCATGGTACACTTAATTCCACAAGAAATTAATCATTTTCACACTCTTGTAATTCCTTGATAGGTTTTATACAAATATAGAAATAGACACTGACACAAAAACATAGACAAACACAGACAGAGGTACAGACA